AAACGCTCTATTTGGGGCAATTACGCAATAACAGAAATCTCTATAGAATGTTTTGGTGTTTTTCTCTAGCTTTCTCTACTGAAACGATGCCTAAGTGTAACGAAAACTGTCGATGTGAGGTATGCAAGTGTTGTGAAGCAGCTACGAGCCAGGCCAAACCTGTGTGTGCAGAAAGATGCAGCCGAAGCTGTAAATGTGAAACGTGCAGATGCTGTGTTTCTACTAAAAGGCGATGCAGCGCCAGCTGTCGGTGTGATGTCTGCAAATGCTGTGAAGCCTCAAAGAATTGTTGTTAGAATATGACCTAGGAGCTCACGGTCATCTAAAATACTAACCCTCTTGACGATGAAGTGTCATTGTCTTAAGCCTTTGGTCAATAGATTTTAATTTTAGAAAATTCGGGTCCTATTAAATATTGTCAATCAACACTTTTTAAATAAAAATATGTAAAAATTATATAAGTGCTGTGTAATTATAGATATAGATTTGCGTTATAAGATGTTAATTAGGTTACAAATGTTCTAAACGTAAATGGAATATGTATATACATCCTCCATTTATACTCAGAACATTTATAATTTTAATCTATGATGATAAAAACAGGGTAAACAAGTTTGATACGTCAAATTAAAAGAAACCCCGATGTTTTCGAAAGGTAGAACTGTCTTCTTCGGAAGTAATAATTCAACTAATTTTTTGAAATATACTTTATACATGACATTAATTTTATTTATTTATCTCTTATGATTAATTCAACTAAAACAAATACGCCAAAGTCGGAGAACTCCACGAACTAACGAAAGGTATAACTTAATTGAAAAAAACAACAACGCTGATTCTTTTCTTCTAGCAAGCTCACTATATATACAGATAACTCAAAATGAAGACTCTGGTAAAAAAGTATTTCAGACAATTGAAGTTCCTCATCTTTCAATCAAAGCATACTTTAAAAATTGCTAGTTTTAATGTACCTACCAGAAAAAAATAACTCCGGCTAGAAAACAGTAGTAAACAAACTGAGCCAATCCATCCAGTAAAACAATGTGATTCGTTAATAACAAACATTAAACCACGATAATAACAAATTTCTAGTATGGCAATGAAGTAGGAAGCCTTCCCATTTTTCAATATGTACCAGTAAAAAGGCGTTAAAATTAGGAAAATTACTCTAGGGAAAAGCAGGGGAATACATAAAATTTAATCCAGAAACCAAGAGCTCCCAGGGTCCTAAAACGAGGCCTGGACCCTGGCCGTAATGGATGAGCCTGTGACATACACATTCTGTCTCTCCGTTCGGTCAAATAAACTTTGGGCCCCACTTTTAATTTGCCTCCTACACCTCTGAAGTATGGTCACTTTGAGCAGGATCCAGCTCTTTCGTTATCCTCTAGAAATGGAAGATCGGCTGGGACGTAGACTTCCCTTGGGGGAGGGGAACTGAAACCTTATATCTGTACTGTTTACACGGTGTAAAGTGACAGTCCCACAATAAGAAAATAAATCGTAGATAACTAATTAAAGAAAATACTCTGTCAGTATAAATGAAAAGTTATAACTACTTGAGAAGTAAACAGTATTGTGATTGCACCGATTAATTACAAATTCGAATATTTACTAGTACAATTAGTTAAAGATTTCTGCAGCATTTTAAACAACACTTATTGTTATCACGTAAAGGTCGAGTCACATCTACCGGTGGGACAACTGTAAGTTTACGAACTTACAACGCTAAAATCCAGGGTTCGATTACCCGCGGAGAACATAGCAGATAATCCCAATTTGTTTTTGCTTTAAAACAGACTCAGTCAAACAGGTCGAGTCACGTATTGAGAAAATAATATGAAAAAAGGAATTTATTTGATTTATTTTATGACAAAAACTCTTACTGTGAAAACGTTGCTTGATATTCCGCCGCACAGCTTCATCATGATCTTATCTTTACTCATAATGTAACACAAGAAAGATTCATCATGATTTAATAGAGAGCACTTGTTGATAGCAGCACCGAATTCTGTTCATTATATACTTTTTACAGTAATTAACGCTGTATTGTTATTATACTGAGTAAAGCACTGTAAAGTTTAGAAGTATAATATTATTAACAGCATTATATATAAAATCAAGAAATTTAACGTCTTAAAAAAATTGGCAAAACTTCAGTTTTCATAAAGTATAACAATTATTTCTGTTAATATTCGGCATTTTTCTTGTATTAAAATAGATTCTTTGATTTTCCGACTTAAGTAACTATGTTCTTTTGCCACAGGCCTGCGATGGTTTTATTTGTCTTGAAATTTTTACACGTTATACAGTAATTCCTGTATACTGAATCCAAAAATGATATCCATTTTTCACAGAACGTCATAACGCAGTACATAAAAAAAAAGACCACAACACGTAGTTTCGAGACTAAAAGACGTAGATTTCACACAAAAAAATCAGGATGAATAAGGATGCATATTCGTTTG